TGTTTAATAAAATTTGCACCTTATTGCCTGCGTTTTAAAATATTGAATTGCAATTTTCAAACTTCCAGTAATTCGAAAACACTACTTTTGGTTAACAAAGTTTTGTTATCGTAGATTACCTTTATAGCAAGTACCTAGTTGTTTTTAGATGATGATTCGCGGTTTGTTTTAAGTAGTTTAGATGGGATTTGTGAACCTCCGGCTTTTATATGACAGGGTATTTTTTGTTTGAGTCTAAATGTACTATTAGCCGCCGGCTTTGATAGCTTCGTCATAGGAGGATATGTTTTTTAGAACTTTGCGGGATAGAAAAGTAAGTACAAGATCGATTTAATGTGGGTTTAGGTTGTTAAAGAATAAATTAATGCCACAAAAATATATAATACAATCGAGTCATTTAAAATAGGAACCCTGACCGCAAACGTTGTTGCGGCGCGGTGGGGCATGAAAATCACATAAAAATCATTCTGAAACCCTTTTGTTCGCCTCCCTCGTTGTTTCAACCCCTTATTATGCCGGAGCGGTGATGTATAATTATGTGGTGAGTAGTGATTGACTGCAGGGACAGTCTTGTTAGCTGTTTTAGAATTCTACTTTTTTTTTATTCGCTGCCAACATTTCAACGCGTGCCGCCCAGATTAAAACTTTACGGCGACAGTTCCAACAAAGGTTTGAGTTAATTGATTTTTTGTATTTTTTAGCTTACTTAGCTACTACATATTTTTTGGAAAAACGATTTGTTTGTACAGGGATTGATTGCATTTTTGGAAAAACGATTTGTACAGAATTGTACACGGGATTGATTGCACGTATGAAAATTTAATTAAGTGACAGGGAAACGCTAATATAAAGTAAACAGTCTTCATAATACTGTAAAAATAATACGTAAAGTCAACAAATTTACGATGTGAAACACGTATGAAAAAGTTTTTTTTCAGTTATTTCTAAAGAAATTCGGGCTTGACATTATTAAATTACCGTTTAAGCTCACAGTCATTTTAAGACATAATTTAAAAAAAAAAAACCAGCCAAATCCGAGTCGAACTCGGAACCATTATCTCTTAAAACGGTAAAAAAATGTCTGTTGTATGGGAGCTCCACTTAAATGTTTTTTGTTAGCGGCAAGAGTCTGTGAAAATTTCACCTGTTTAACTATTAAGATTCATGAGATAAAGCCTGGTGATAGACGGACAGACAGACAGACAGCGAAATCTTAGTATAAGTGTCCCGTTTTGCCCTTTGGTTACGGAACCCTAAATAAAAACTCAAATTATAATACGGCCAAAACAAAATGTCTTATCAAGTCACGTGTGGACGGAAGTCTTCTCTCAACTTGGTGGTGTAATAGTAAATTAATTATCATGCACTTGCGAAAATAATATTCAAGATCACATTCTCTCTCAACAGTCAGTCAGTAAATTTAAAAAGGCATTTAGAAAACTAACAGACTATGGCAGAAATTGGCGCCAAGAATAACTGGTGGTTTCTAAGAACACTTTCTTTCGAAACGTTCTCATAAAAGAGCACTAAATTTGGGTCTAAAGTTTTATCCTGCATTGCTCAAATTGATGGCAGTCAGTGAGCCCGTTATGCTCAAGTGGCTTACTCAGAAAATGGTGATAATTCTTTAGGACGTTTATACACGTTCGGAGTATATCGTGGTTGTACACAATACTTGATTGCGGAAGCCGTACATAAGTACCAATGTACACACTTCTTATACACTTATACACCAATCTGTTTTTGCCAGTAAATGTGAATAAACCTTACCCAGCTATTTCAATTTTACATCACAAACAATAGAAGTTTATTGATAGGCATGTGAGTAAATAACTCCGTAAGTAAATTATTTTTATAATTAAACCGATATTGGAGAGACGGGGATACTAGCTAACAGTCTTCGGATTTTGAAAGTCGAACGATTTTTGTTGCATGTGCTATCGGATTACAAGGAGGTCTTAAGTAAATAAAATAAAACGTTACACGTTACTCTACAATTACACATGTATCAAGACAGACAAAGTATGTGGAAATTATATTTATGCTTGTTGAAAGCAATAACATTGCTCCTAGTTTATATCGTACATCGTATGTAATAATGTCTTCGTGTATATTTTTTACGAAAGAGACAAAAATCAACAGATTAACCTATGTAATAAACATTTCAGGATATATTTTAACACAACGTCTAGTCCCAAACTAAGCAAATATAGTTCTATGGGTACCAGGTAACTGATAATCATATTTGAATTTGCTTTTATTTTTTTAAATAAATACATATTATAGATATATTAATACCCAGACAGTAGAAAACAAAACATTATATTATTCAAGCCACACCTTCTGGCGCAAGATACAAGTCTTATTCAATTTGTCACGATTTTGTATTTGACGAACTCATAATGCGCCCCCAGTAAACGTTAACTTGATCAGTGTGGTTTGTTTTACCGTTGAGTTCTTAACGCTAATTCTAATAAGAGAACCAATAATTTTAAACAGGATTTCTTACCAGGAGGTCGAAATTTTGCTTTGAGATTTCGTGCGTGCCGCAGTCTGCCACCGGTTTGCGTCTTAATAACGTTCGAAAACGTACATAAACAAGTGTCTATATCTGTAATAGGACATTAAGCACGTATGTTTTTACTCGAACGCGCAACCCGAAGGAGGGTAATGTGTTTATCAGCCTATCTATGTTTGTTCCCTTATGGCGCTCTGGAGATGAGACGCGTGGGCCAATTTTGAAGATTCTTACGTCATTCGAATTGTCATAAAATCCAAATGGTGAAAACCAGATGTCATACTGTCAAGTTAGAACAGCGTATAGAATTTTTTTCCATTCAAACAACACACACGACTTAGATAGCAATTACGGATTATTAGAATTCCTAATCTTAGCTGCGTTAGTTTGTACAATGACTTCAATTGAATTAGATAATAGACTGTTAAAACACCTCTTTACAGGTCCGGTAAATTCGTAACACGCCATTAATTTTCTGTTAAGATGACATAATCATATAATACTATTTTCTGTATCTCTATATATCTTTTGATTAACTCATGGCTCATTAGAAACAAGTTGGTGAAATGAGAACATACCTTAATTGCCCTAATTATTACAAATAAATTTCTACAAATTAGTGCAAATTGGAACGACGATAATAATATCCTATCTAGTTTGTTTATTCTTTTTCGGGTATAGAAATTAATGTCTGAACTAAATGTAATATTATATTCCTAATTAAGTGATTCTATCTTGGTTTATTTATAATTTAAACGTTACTGATACTTTACGATATTTCATAAAAACAAGTTATTACATGGGATGGGATATCCATTCCATCCCATCTAACAACTTTATCGTATCCATGAAACAATGTCTTATTGTTTTCACTAATATTTGGTAATTGTGCTTGGTAAACCTGATGGTAATTGGTTTCAATATGGGCAAAGACCGTGTACGAACAATTATGTGCCCTAAACCGTTACAGCGTCTATTGATTAAGTGTTTAGGCAAAGGCATCACACATGCAGCCGAATGATTCGACGCTCCATTTTAGTCTGCGTTAATTCAGATTGCAAAGGGCGAGCGATTTAGGTACAGCACATCTAATAAAACGGAATTGATTTGTATGAATTACGATGGAGGATAATAGGAAGTGAAGCGAGAGGGCGCAGTTATAAATAGTAATATGTAAATTTAAGCGTGGCTGTGTTATGGCCGCGTGGTGCAGGTAATGCGGCAGCGTACATATCCGAGTTCGATTACTGCATGGTCCCCTGGTCGAGGGACGCTTTGTTGATTTTATTTCCATTTCTTTAAGCGCGCCTGGATTTTATTATCGTAACGAAAATCACAGATAAAAAGGTGGCAGTAAAAAAGTATGCAGGATGAGGATGATTTTGAACAAAAAAACCGACTTCAGACAGGAAACTAATAAAAACATTGTCAACACCTATTACATTTGAGGATTGCCCTCGATTTCTCTGGGATGCCATCATCAGATCCTTATTATCGTACCACCCTTGGGATATCTCCTTTCCGACAATAAAAGAATCATCAAAATCGGTTCATAAAAGACGAAGTTATCCGCGAACACACATTAAAAAAAATAAAAATATATACGGTCGAATTGAGAAACATCCTTCTTTTTTGAAGTCGGTTAAAAATTATATGCAGTCAGGAAATGTAAAGTATAGCAGCGATAACACTTCACAATAATTGGGGCACTTTCTCACTTAGGCACCAATTTTTAGGGCCATAAGAAAAATCTAGAAAGAACTTAGTAATAGGCTGTTCGGTATCCGTTTATCTGTTGCAATATTTTTAACATCACTAATAAGCTTTAGAAAATCACGAGCACATAAGCCGTTTCTTTCCTGTTTAGCGTTTGCTAATTGGTTGCGGTTACAATGGCCTAATATATATATACATATCGGTGTAAAGAAAATGCGGCATACCGCAAAATAAATTTGTTGACAACACCGTAATGGTATTTTGTGATTTTTGCGGAATGTTTTAATTTCATCAATTGCTTTATGCTTTCTTTATTTAGATTAAATTCTTTTATGGCTCTTTCTAGAACTTGATCTTGTATCATCGAATTGTCTAATTTCTACATTTCTTATTAGCAAGTTATATCTGTCAGTTGTGCTTACCGTGCAATAGGGATTTAATTCTAATTAGTTAGATACGCTGCGTTTATCTCACTATATGTTAATTTCATTTGGAATTTACAATACTTAGGTACTCGATAAAAATTGTTAAGTTTTTTTACTTCTTTATTTTTTGCAGTAGGTTCTTAAGATTTGTTTAATTTTTTTTGGATACTTGAGATTACTAATAAACGTTACACGTGAAAAAAAAAATGCGAAGGCTTTTAAATAAAGGGTTAACTTTAAAAGAAACATAAATTAAACAAACATGTACACATTGCTTTTTCACGATTTGTTAGTCGAAATTTAGCAGTGAATATCCTAAGAATAACACTCTTGATCCATCAATTCGTGTACCGAGTTGTTGAATGCAATTCTGTGAGGATACCCGGATCCACACGCCTGATCGGATCGTGCACCGCAAGTCGAGCGAGAGGGCTGGACACGCGCCGCAGCGGGTGCGAGCGGGACGGAGCCAAGATGACCAACGGCAGTTGGGGGTCAAGGGTGAACGCTCTCGGGTGAGATGTTAAGGTTCTCGTTCGGTACTGGTTTCCGAATATACGGCCAGTGCGCCGCGGCGACTTTGCCGAAGGCTGTGGGATATCTATTAAGGTTGGCAACACCGCAATGTTTATGCTCAGTGCGTTGGTAGCCCTGCCCGTGCGTCGAAAACCACCGTCTATGGAGCTCTTAGGTTCCGTTAATCCTATCCAGTTGTCTGGACGTAGTTATTCAGATTCATATAGTCGACCTATAGAATGAATCGGTGCAGCGTATTATTGATACATAAGAATAATGTATGTCTGTTTCAGGTTGCATTTATTGATTTAATAGGTTGATAGGTTATAGAATTTCCCGCCAAATTCCCATTAAATTATGAGTGAGTATCTGATGTGAGTTTGTCTGCTATGAAAGGCTTCCTTTAACATTCTGTTATACACGCGTTGATAACATGTTATACGATTTATATTGTTCATCTTTTCTTTGTTCCAGATATAATTATAGTTTATGAAGAGGGCTTAAAATTGTAGACCAATTTGTTACTTAGCTATTTAGGGATATAAACTAGCGTTATGTCAATGAAGGACGAAAGGATGTGTTGTAATATAGATCTGTATATGTTGTGCCAATCAGAATTCATAAAAGGCAAATTTTGTTGGATTCTTATAAGAATTAAAAGCATTGCATAAGAAACTTATATGTTCCCAATAACTCTTTATGTTTAATAAATATTTATTGTAAAATTTTGACAGAGCGGAACCGGTAAGACTTTTATAAATCATAGATAGAGTTTTATGCAGATATTTCACCTGTACTTAACTATTTAGTTCAGAATATTTCAGACGTTAAACTTGTGTAGTCGTGCGCTATGTATGGCGATAGATGAAATGATTTTTGCATGTTAGTAATCAATGCACATATTTAATTTTGCATAAAATCGTAAAAACAAAACAGATATGATTAATAATTGCACCAAACTGGAGTAATTGGAGAAGCAACTTTCCCATCATATTCCGGTAAAACTAAATAATTATTTAAATAGTCTTTCAAGAATTGATTGTTGTTTATCACTTTGAATAATGTTTCAATAAATTCTAGTTAGTATTACTTGTGGAAAGCAATGATGTTTTTCCGATTCCAATGGACGGCGGTGGATACCAAAATAACTTTGGATCATACTTATTGTAGTAATATAAGGTACAAGTAAAACGGCATCTATGTTACGACTGTTTATTTTACACATACATTTGTACTTCGTAATTGTACACATTATCTTAGGAGGGTAGATTATCTTTACTTCCGCTAAGACTATGATATTATTTCCTAAGACTACCTACAACATCTCCCTTTCTTCAAAGTTCAAGTTACATTATAATCACTTGTACAATGTTTACCAAATTTTGAATAATAATTATAATTAATACATTAATCAATTATTCACACTATCCTTATTTTCCCTAATGAACAATAAAAAAAAAGTATTCTGTTTTAGTTTGGAATATATAAATTATTACATTAATTATTATACAATATTATGCACCAAAGTATGTAGCTATCATTTCACCGTTTAAACAAAGTATAAGTAAATTAATTAAATTTAATTAACGATTTCTAATTTCATACAGATATCAAATTAGAATAACTGATCTTATTAGTTATAAATTGTTGACTTACAACATTATGCAAAATATTAAACCTCCTAAAACAACTAACTACTAGCTTTTTTTTTTTTGCTCTTTTAAGTAACAATTAATTTTAACTTTAATTAACCACCTCGAAGCGATCTGGCTGACGAACAACTCTCCCGCTTCTAGTGACACGTATTTGTTTTGGCGGCGAGATTTGTTCCTGCGTCTGCGCATCCCCGCTTATCCCGCGCGGCAGTATAGTTAGTTGTGTCTGTGTTTTCAAAATAATCCCAATCAATCTTTGAGTTCCGATTAATTTTATTATGATCTTTAGTTAAATCTTTAGAGTCTGAACGTGATGTTGACGGCAGAGTCATTATATGCTGCCTGTTCTGTCGCAAAACTCGACCATTTTTAGTTTCCAGCCAATATGAACGTTCACCTCGTGCTCTTCTATCTTTTACCTTAGCCTTTTCCCATATACCGTTAGTCCGCATTCGTACTGCTTCACCCGGTTGCAGTGACTTCAATCGCTTAGTACTCTTATTATAATATTCTTTTTGCTTCTCAATATTTTTTAATCGATTTTCCTTTACTAGACGTCTGTTAACATTTTTAGGACGCAACTTGTTAAGTTGCATAGGGAATCTAGTATTAAGTCGGCGATTCATCAACAGCTGGGCAGGTGAATATTCCTCTCCTGTTAGTGGCGTAGTTCTAAAATTTAGGAGTGCCAGTTGCCAATCTTCACCCGACTCATATGCTTTAATTAATATTGACTTCACTGTTCTCACGTTTCTTTCCGCTAAGCCGTTAGACCTAGGGTAATGAGGTGAGCTAGTAACATGTTCAAAACCCCATTTTTGACTAAACATTTTAAATTCCTCAGATGTGAACTGTGTTCCATTATCAGTAACAATTTTCTTAGGTATCCCAAACCTGCTAAATACTTCCTTCATTGCTTTAATAGTAGTAATACTTTGCAAATTACTTAATAAACACACTTCTACGAATTTTGAAAAATAGTCCACAATAAGAAGATATTGCTTTCCTCTGAATTCGAAAATATCAGCGGCTAAGTTCTCCCATGGCAGTGTCGGCACGGGATGTGGCGCGAGAGGCTCCCGCGGGTTAGCAGCACGGTGCCGCTGGCATATCTCACAGCCCTGCACTACGCTTGCGATATCTGCCGTCATGCCTGGCCACCACATTACGTCACGTGCACGACGTTGACACTTTTCAATTCCCAGATGTCCTTCGTGTATTCTACGCAACATTTCTCTGCGTAATGACAGCGGTATAACGATACGATTGTTCCTAAATAAGATCCCTTTAATCATATGTAACTCATAATGAACATTCCAATATGGTTTGACTACGTCTGAAACCTGCTTTTTATTTAAAGGCCATCCATTTTGATAATACTGCCCGAGTGCCGTTAAAATAGGATCTTTTTGTGTCTCCTCCTTAATTGTTTGCAACATTTCAGCAGATGCTTCAGCGTTTCCATAGGTCATATTTTCGTGAATCATAACTTCATTACCTAAATCATCCTTACCTTTTTAAGTAGCTGCTCTTGATAAAGTGTCCGCGATAAATAGTAGTTTTCCAGGCTTGTATTGCAAATCAACAGCATAATGCTGTAACTTTAGTAACAGACGCTGAAGTCTAGCTGGAGTTTCATTCAGCGGTTTTTTAAGAATTGCTTCTAGTGGCTTATGGTCGCTTTCTACAGTAACTTTATCATGTCCATAAATATACTGATGGAATCTTGTACATCCAAAAACCACGGCGAGTAGCTCTTTCTCAATTTGAGCCCAACGTGTCTCCGTCGGTGTGAGCGTGCGCGATGCATACGCCACAGGTCGACCTTCTTGCAGAAGGCAGGCACCCAGACCATGGGCGCTTGCGTCAACTGACACTGTAACTGGTACACTTGGTGAATAATAGTTTAGAACTGGGGCCCTACTGATTTTAGACTTAAGGACATTGAAAGCTTGTTCATGTACTTTTAACCAACTAAACTCTATATTTTTATTTAATAATTCTCTTAATGGCGTTGATATCTTTGAGTAATTTGGAATAAACTTGGACAAATAATTGGTGACTCCTAGAAATCTCTCTACTCCCTTTTTGTCTGTCGGTCGGCCATTTTTAAAATTGCATCCACTCTGCTATTGTTTGGCCTAATACCGTTCCCATTGAATGTATGGCCCATGAACGTAATTTCTTTTACACTAAATACACATTTTTTTTGTTAAATTTGACCCCGTTTTCTTTCGCCTTACACATAACCTGTGCCAGTCGTTCATCATGCTCTTTTTGGTTTTGACCCCATATCAATAAATCATCACAGAAAACTTCTACTCCTGTCATTTTAAAAATCTTGCACATTTCATTATGGAACATTTCTGGCGCACAATTAATCCCAAACGGCATTCGTAAAAATCTATATCTGCCGAAGGGCGTAGAAAAAGTACATAGCTTACTACTTTCTTCATTTAAACGCATCATATAAAAACCTCTCTTTGCATCACATTTAGAGAATACCTTAGCTCCCGATAGATTGCTAGTAATCTCTTCTAACGTAGGTAATTGAAAATGGCTCCGTTTGACCGCCTTATTTAAATTCTTAGGATCTAAGCAAATGCGCAACGACTTATCAGGCTTCTCAATAACTACAATGTTAGAAACCCAATCTGTAGGACCGTCCTCCTTTTTAATAACGCCCATCTTCACCATATTATTCAATTCAACTTTTAATCTAGGACGTAATTTTATTGGTATTTTTCTTGCACCATTTACTACCGGCGGGATGCGCGGGTCTGTTTTTATATTACATACAAACGGTAAGCAACCAAGACCTTCAAAAACTTCTTCATCTATATTTATGTTGCACAATGTTAAATTATTAATTCTAGCCAAAAGTTTTAAATTAATACATGACTTTAAACTACAATAAGTTGTTGCAATTTACATTTAATACATAAATATTCTCATTACTATAATATTCTCCATGTTGCAATAAAGCATTGAAATAACCAACAATGGGTAAACTTTTTTTACTTATTTCTCGCAATACAGTATAACATTTTTTTAAATTATTTACACTAAAGCCAAACATTTTATAACACTCTAGTGACATTACCGAAGCGTCCGCACCGCTGTCCAATTTAAATTCTACTACCACACCATCAACTATAATATCAGCATACCACGATTTGTTGCCACAGTCTGAAGCCTCAATAGATATATTATACATTAGTAACTCACCATTGTCTGCCTCACTGTCCTCACCGTAATCCTCATAACCCTTATCGTCAGAGCCTGCATCCTGCAACTCCCGCGCAAACTTCACTCGACAACACTTTGCAAAATGTCCTATCTTTTCGCATCGATAACATTTAACTGCATACGCTCGACACCTGCCACGAACACTGTGCCACAAATTACACTTATCGCATTTATTGCTATTATTAGCACGAAATCTGTTGTCAGATTGATAACCCGCGCGTCTAAATTTCTCATCACGTTGGTCACGATAATTCTCCACCCGTCCACGTTCATAGCCACGTGTCCAGTTTGCATTTCTCGCTATACCACCTCTTTGGGCGCGCCTACCACTCGCCTGTACCACATACTCCACACAATCGCCAGCGCCTGCACTTGTTTGCCGTGTACTACAAGCCACGGCCTGCTCGCCTGCCCTTTCCGAAGCCCTGCACCATCCGCTTGCCTCTTCTAGGGTTAAAGAAGACTTTGACAAAAATTTCTCTCTCATTTGTCCATCTTTGAGGCCACGAATTAATTGTGTTAATATGAGACTATTTTTCAATGACCCAAATTCACAGTTTTTAGCTTTAATTTTCAAAAAGCCTAAGAATTTATCGAAACACTGATCATTCTGGTAACTTTCAAAAAATATATGCCTTTCGTAGTTAATATTTATTTTTGGATCGCAATGCTCGTTAAATTTTTGACATAATATTTTAAAATCATACTTTTCCGTTTCATTTATGTCTAACTCCTCATAAATATCACGACCGTGTTTTCCGATAACATGCATAAATAGTGCACACTTCTCTCTTGCTGGGGCCGTCTCTCTTCCAGAAGCGATTAGAAAATAGTCAAACGCCGATTTCCATTCCCGCCAATTTGTTGCTATGTTGCCTTCCCGAGCTAAAGGCAACGGTTGTATTGAAGCATACGACAAACTTTCATCTTTATTGTTAGGCATCCTCACAATTTTTTTTTCGTAACAACACCAAATTGTCTAATTCTCTCAATTGTAACTAAAATTGCACACCAACTGACTTTGACACTAATCTGCCACACTTGACACCATGTAGTAATATAAGGTACAAGTAAAACGGCATCTATGTTACGACTGTTTATTTTACACATACATTTGTACTTCGTAATTGTACACATTATCTAAGGAGGGTAGATTATCTTTACTTCCGCTAAGACTATGATATTATTTCCTAAGACTACCTACAACACTTATTTTTATTTTTTGAAGTATTAAAGGTTAAAGCAACAGGCTATAACATTCCACTGCTAGGCAAAGGTATCCCCTATACCTACGGAGGGTAATAGGGCATAGCCCATCATTCGACCCCGCTGTGGATTGGCTGACTTCACATAAAAGTAACAAGCCTATAAATGTCCCACTGCTGGGGCCTTAAGTGCCTCCTCCGAAAGAGGACCCCACATAGTCCACCACGCGACCCCAGTGCGGATTGCCAGACTTCACATATTTTTTTATTTTTTTTTTATTTCGAATACATGCCAGTTTCCTCAAGATGTTTTCCTTCACCGCTTAGCACGTGATAAGTAAGCAGTTAAAATTAACAATGTCATTGGTGCCGTCACCGGAACTTGAATTCAGGTTGCTCGAGTATATTGAATTAAAAGCGAGAGCCATTGAGCTATCACGGCTCGCTTCTTTTTTTTTTCGGCCTTAGGGGCCTTCACAGTTCCGACGGGTTTGAGGTGGCCTGGCGCACGGGGCGCCTAGCCTGAACCTCGGCGTATTATTATTACGCGTTATGGTGACTAAGCTCGAGGGCTCCCGGGGGAGCCTCGGCTCGGGCCGTCACGCTATTATTATCACCGGTTTGGGAGGCCGCCAAGCTGTTAGGGCGCTTTGGCGGGCGCTCCATGGAGTGATCAGGCTCAAGTATCCCCGAGAGGGGACCTCGGCTTGGGCTGTCACTCAACACGCGTTTAGCATTCCGATTCGAGGGTGCCCGAGATTGCCGGACCTCGGCTCGATCGGTAGCTATTATCTGACTGGGGCACGGCTCGCGTGCAATATTTACATTTATGGAATCACCTGGGTAATAGGCGTAAACTTGAATCCCGAACGGCACCTTCGACGGACCCGCGGAACATTCTGGAAGGCCGGACGTCGCGAATAAAACCAAAAACCCGCCCGAGATGGAATCGTTTTGCGGATTAACAGGGCCAGCGGTGCGTGAAATTTGTTGTAAGCAACGCGAGATTAGTTAAACGTTTACGACGCTTGATTTACGAGGGCCGGTTGGCGGGAACTCGCCCGTCGGGAGGCGTGCTGCGGTTTTAACCGGCCGCCAATAAGGGAATACTGTTTCGCCTTAAGTTCGTTTAAGCTCCGATTTAATGCCGCTATTGTTTTTTTTTAAACCACCGAAGACAAAGAGAACGAAAGCAGTGGACCGCTGTGTTTATTAACTGGGCTTAATCTAGCGAAGGAACGTGCTGTAAACGCTTTAGAAAATTCAACGGCTTAAGTATAAAGAGCATGGTTTTTTAATGTGAGAAAACGGCAAGTGAACTGGCGGTTCACCTGATGTTAAGTGAGAATCACTGCTCATGGACATTCGCAACACCCAATGTGGGGTTACAAATGCTTTGCTACGTTTCAATAAAGTGGGCCCCGGCTACCTCACTCACCAGACGAAATGCGGAAGTATAAACATTTCCATTTTACGCGGGTCTTCTGTGAGGTCGTCGTACTTCCCAGGACGGGCAAGCCCATTCAGAGAGCCAACAGGCCATCATAAGGCGTTTCGCATCTGCAACATGCAGCTGATTTCGCAAGGGGCGATGCTCGAATACCATTAAATAAACCTTGCCGTTTTGGCATCTAGAGGCCCATTTACACGATGCCATTTTCTTGAACATACAAGAGCAATAATTGAATGCAATAAATTGCGCGCAATAATTGTTTAGGCCATTTGTTGTTTAGACCATGCAACTCATTTATTGCTTCAATTTAATTGTATACAACAGGCAAGAAACTGGCACCATGTAAATGGGCCTTAATAAATAGTTATACAAATATTACCCATCATATCAATTGCTGTTCGGTAAAGTCTTATGAGCGCTTTCAGAGAAAGAATCCAAACGATACAAAACATGAGAATGATTTATTCGATAAATCAAAATAAAATTATATTGTAATACAGTGGATTATCTACTAAAAGATTTATCTAGCATAAAATGCTAATTTAATTTAAAATATTTTATTTTGGTTTATTTCTCTTCTGTTGGCATTTGTAAATTTCAAAATGAATGTATAGTTTATGGACCCAGCAAGGACTTTTTTAATGTTAATAAGATTATAAATTTTGAGACGATAAAAATTCTGCAGTAATAAGCTACAGTATAGGAGCTGCTACAGTGAAATGGCGATGAACATTTATTTGTAATAACGACGCGCTTACTCACAACATTTTACATCTTCTATTGTCCGTCTGTTCATGACGAAGTAAAACGGGTAAGCTCCGTCAAATATATACTTTAATTTAACAATACGCGATATTCGCGTAAAATTCAAGCAACAGTTTTATTAGTAAAAGAAACGTCCGTGATGTTCTAGAAAATGTGCTTCAATAACTTCATGCAGCTCTCTCCGGTTTTTAGTTTTCTTTAGTATATCGTATGATACTCGCACTCAATGCTACTACCAGCATTTTTAAAAGGCAATCCACAAATTCGCCCCCTCGGGCTTACAAACCGCAATCATATTCAGCGAGCCACGTATTCGAAACTAAAACTATGCGAAGGGGCCCTCCTCATTCTTACCAATTCGCCATTTGAGAGCCTTACAGAAACAAATCTTCTACGTAGGTACGAATCCATTGCGTGTAGCGGTGTATCATTTGCTCTTTATTCTTTATTCTCAACGAGTAATGTAATACGTTGTGAACGATAAAGAAGCGAATAGCGAGTTCGGATGAGTGAAAAAAATTGATATTTTATTGCGTCGCGGGTCCACTTTCTGTCGTATTTTATTCTCTTTTCTTCGTTTCCCGCGCATTCTATTGTATTATACAACGCACGTTTGCCGTCAGCTGTAATTGTCGAATTGGAATAATGGGTCTTATCGCTTTGGAATAAGGGCTATTGAGGCGCATTAAGTTGTTCGCGGACGGTTAGCGGTTTGCGAGTTTCCCGCGTGTCGTCACACGCACGGACGGGCGGTGTATCATTTTCTTTGAACAAATGGCCCGCAGTATCTTCCTCGGCGGCCTAATCTCGTCGCGGATAGAGCCGGGTCCGTTACGAATGCGGTGGGGAAGCGGCAATTTGCATCCGGATATATAAAGCCGCTTGGATTTCTCTTTGGTTGCACGTTATCAGGGATACGATTCAGGAAAACATTACTCGAATTTGAATGAATGCATGAATGAATGAATGCTTTATTGTCCACCACACATAAAAGGATACACAAAATTAACAATAGACAAACAAATTAATGGAATGCACAATTTGTTGGCCTGATCGCTTCATAGCGGTCTCTTCCAGGCCAGCAATGGCGTTAACACGTTAAACGCCATGGGGGCCGCCATGTGCCGGCAGTTAACTTCATGCATGGGCCACACGAAATTTTATAGTTTGGTCAAAAATTAGAACATTGTTTTTTGTGTTTAATTGATAGAATGATAGTAATAAATTGCAGTAAATTAACGAACGTTTTCTACGTAGGCGGTGCAATAGTAACATACATAAAATATGAGTAAATCAAATACATACAAGATACATACGTGTATACACATACACACTCATAAATACATATTTATGTCGGAATTTGCAGACGCGTTAGCTTCTGTTATGGTAGATGTGTTTCCATACCTCGAGATTGGCATCAAGAAAACTCAACTTGTACGAAGGCAAATTCAGTTTCTAACACATTTGACGCGTTTATAGGTCTCTTCACTAACCACGAGAGAAACCCTTGTTTTGTCGTGATATTGTTGTCATGAATAGGATGTAAGGAGCTATATGAAAACTTTGGCGACTTCAAGGTCCAGCAGGCTAGACAGCCTAGACATTATAACTCTGTTTGTGCAATTTTTAGTCAACAGCCAAAAACATACTACAAAAGTTAATCTGTACAGACAGAAAAAAGCTCGTAAACAAACAAATGGATGACGAATCTTACGCAAATAGTTTTCTTGGCAAAACTATTAAGTTCAAATCCTTGATACCGGCAAAGATAAACATGTATTATTATTTTAAGGGCTGATTTGTCCCGTTTTTTTGCGGCTAAGGAAAATATCGTAATGAGACTTGTGAATGAATCTTTACGGTGATAGGGCCACGCAGCAGCCTCGGCTGTTGCACGAATGGGCAGGCCCGTCCGGGTAAGTACCACGACCTCACAGAAGACCAGCGTAAAGTGGGTGTATGACAAATACTTTCGCGTTTCGTCTGGTGAGTGAGGTAGCCGGAGCCCGATTTTCAAAAGTTTGTCAACGCATCTGTAACCCTCGGGTGTAGCAGATGTTCATGAGCAATACCACCGTATTCACTTAACACCAGGTGAACCAGGTGGCGAGCAGGTGCTCGCTTGGCAACTTTTCACATAAACAAAAATTTTATGGAGAATGCCTCAAAACCTACATGACCGAGAAAATTTCTTGTCTATGAACAAATGTCCTTTTTATTTACGAACCTTTAATAAGTACTGGAACTGGTCATATCAAGGCATTAAGTGAGTGGGGTGAGGCAAACAGAAATCAATTAGATTTACCTGGGATTTTATAAGTCATCTTCCACTGAAAGCGATACCATTCTATTTTCAATAAAAATGTATCCCTTTTACTGGCATTTTCGGCCACATCAGTGTAGTGGACAGTGAGCCTGTCTCTTGCGCCAAAGGGTGTGGGTTCGATCCCAGTACTGGCAAGATTATTTGTGAACGCAGTGCTTGTGCTGTTTGAGCACGATTATCAGTTACTTAGCTATCCATAGCACAAGCTTTGCTTGGTTCCGGACTAGATAAATTGGAATTGAACTGCCAGGAGGCAGGTACACTACCCACTAGGAACGTCAGAGGGTGTAGGTTCGATCCTCAATACTGGAAAAATATTGTGTGATGAACATATTTTTTTTCTAGTTGTCTGGGTGTTTACATATGTGTTACATCCCCAGTCACCATCGTACTGCACCTGAATCAATTGCGCAATGACCGGTGCTTCATTCAACAAAATCGACCACCGGCAAAGCGCGGCGCCTGTCGTCATCCTAACTTCGGACCGATTGGTCACCCTTAGTATCTTAGTACTAAGAACTTTTTTTTCGCGGGTAGGTGAATACAAAGTACAGACGTGTTTTTCATAGCTCCTTATATTTTAATTATATTTTACGAAATTTTTGGTATTTTTACAGTTCAAATTTAGTTCTATTCAGTTTATAATAGTGTTACTTACATCAAAAGTGCATCTTATGTAAATAATACTGTAAAGTATATTCACCACCTGCCAGCTCATCACTAGCACCACTTTTAATTATACATTCGTAATATAACTAACACCAATATGTCCAATCTGTCGGAGATAATCAATACTCAAAACAAGCTTGAAGAAAGTATCTCAAAGCGATTTGATGATCTCCAAGCTCAGATCACTAACGCTGGGTCTTCAAAAGATACAGTTGCGAAGGTTGCTGAGGAGCTTCGGAACTTCAGGGAGCTTATTTTTGGCATTCTCAGTCTCCTTCGCCAACAAATAAGGGAATGTGCCAGGCAAGTTGATGACATGGACACAAGGAGTCGCAGGAAAGCCCTCATCATATCGGGTTTACCTGAGAAGGACAATGAAGATTGCTCCCAACTAATCCTTGACGTGTTCAATAAAAAGATGGGCCTTAACAATTTGTCCAATTCATCCATCAAGGTATGTCACCGACTGGGGGCACCTAGTAAAGATCACCATCGGCCCATCTTAGTCCGGTTCACCAGCCTGGATACCAGAACAGTAGTTTGGAAGGCCAAAACTAAACTGAAGGGCTCCTCAATAGCCCTGAAGGAGTTCTTGACGAGAATAAGGCAAGCAGTCTTCGCTAAAGCACGCCTGCATTTCGGGATGCGCTCCGTTTGGACGCAGAGTGGTATCATATGTATTAAAACGCCATGCGGCAGCAACCATAAGATCACCACAGAAGAAGAGCTGTCCCATCTCTTCGTCAAGTACCCGAAGTCTCCGGGCAAGTCTTCGTCAAAAGAAACCAACTCTGGTAGTAGATCCTAAAAAGGAACATGACAAATAGTTTTTATCGTTTTTACTACATAAAGTTTAAATTAATTTCTCTTTTTTTGTTGCCACTATTATGTTTACGTTTATTGCCTCTTCTTAGTTGTATAATAATAATAATTCTTTATACAAACTTACCTTATCCAGCTTATCATCATGTAAGCAATGCGACTCATTTTTGGAATATTTATTTTGCAGCTAAAACATTTTTCTTTGTTATTATACCTGTATACTTTTTTTTTAATCACATTGTTATAATTGCTTGTTTTCGTGGTGTGCTATTTATGTTTATATCTGATTATTAACTAACTAGAATGTATATAAAAATACTTCACATAACTTCGTATTGCTTTGTTTTGAATGACGTATGTATGACGCCTTTGTCGTTATGAAAATATGACGTTTTGAATGAGTTCCGTTTCACTAATTTACCATGAATACGGGGTTCGTATTTATTTTAATAATTTTAAATTTACATTTGTTTTTATTTACTCTTTGCTTTGATTAGTTTTATACATTTGGTTATTGTGTTAGCTATATTATTAAGGTATTTTTATTGTATTCTCATTCGTGCTTGTGTGCGCTGGCGGGTGGTGCAGAGATTGATTTTGCTCCATCAGTCATTGCACTTCTTTATAATTTTTTTTTATTCATTGCCAAGTAGATATTTATTATTTTTTATATACAAATTTATCTAAGTATTCATATTATATAATTTATTTTTATGTCTATTGTTTCTGACGATGACTCATTTTATTCTGCCAACGAATCTGTAACTTCTATTGCCAATGAAAGTTTTGATTCATTATGCGGCTCACTTAGAGACTTTTTAAGGGATAAGTTTTCTCTAAATCACTGCAACTTCTTGAATATTGGTCACATAAATGCGCAAAGTATTCCCAGCCACTTTAGCGATTTGTGTGATGCTTTTTCTGAATGTAACATGCATGCCATCCTGATTTCCGAGAGCTGGTTTAAACCTCACCTTCATTCTACTATGTGTCCCCTTCCTGGTTTCATAATTGTGCGAAATGACCGTATAGGTAAAGGGGGAGGGGGCGTCGCCATATACCTGAGAGGTGACCTCTCGTATAAGGTACTGGCCTCCTCATCCCAGAACTACTCCGCTTCGGCCGAGTTTCTTTTTCTGGAGGTAACAATTAAAGGCGCCAGAATTGTTTTAGGTGTTGTATACTGTCCTCCAAATGCCGATTACTTCACCGACTTTGAATTGGTTCTTGAATCTTTGGGTTCTGAGTATGTACACCACGTCATCATGGGCGAATTTAATACCAATCTCCTGTCACCTAATTCTCCTCGCACCCTTAAATTCCGTTCGTTAGTTGAGTCAAGCTGTTTTCATATTTTACCTCTCCAAGCTACCCACCACAACATCTCAGGTGAAGACACTTGGCTTGACGTCATCCTTTCTTCCGATCCTTCCATGGTTTCTTTTCATGGACAATATCCTGCCCCAGGATTTTCCCACCATGACCTCATTTTCCTATCGTACATCCTAAAGCCTCCTAAACCTAAACCCAAGGTCCTGCACGTGCGTTCTTTCACGATCATGAACATAGAGAAACTTTGTAACGATGCGGTCAAAATAGATTGGCTACCTTTAATTGAGGCAAGCACCGTAGATAGCAAGGTTCACATCCTTAACACGTTGATTACAAACCTATATGACGTTCATGCACCCCTTAAAAAAATTTAATTAAGGCACTCTCCAGCACCCTGGATGACCGAACGAATTCGAATGTTTATGAGATGCAGGGATCGAGCTTTTCGAAGATATAAAAAAAATCGTTCTGAACAAAATTGGTCCCTGTACAAGTCGGCTAGAAATCGGTGTAATCAGATGGTACGCAACGCTAAACGGCGTCACATCTTCGATAACATTTCTTCATATACTCCTGCCGATATCTGGAAGTTCCTTGGGACTCTTGGTATCGGTAAGTCGCGTTTTCCAAACCTTCCTACCTCAATCAAATTAGATGATTTAAATCAACATTTCTCCACCACTTCATCGATCGATCATCTAACGATTTCCTTTATAAATGGTTTGACGCGCCCTGATATTGGTTCATTTAATTTTTCTCCAGTTTCTTCTGACGAAATCAAAAAAACTATCCTTTCCATCAAATCAAATGCACTTGGATGCGATAAAATAAACCGACGCATGATAGTCCCTATCCTTGATCACCTTCTTCCTGCGATCACCCACATCATTAATTTTGCATTGGATACTGGATCTTTCCCTTCCTTATGGTGTAATGCACTTGTGCGTCCACTGCCGAAATGCCCTAATCCTTCTCTTCTCTCTCATTATCGACCTATCTCTATATTACCCTTCCTTTCTAAGGTGCTAGAGTCCTGCGTTCTTAAGCAATTTTCTCACTTTGTCCTTAGTAACAAATTGATAAGCCCCCTACAATCCGGTTTTAGACCTGGCTACAGTACCACCACCGCCCTCCTTAAAGTGACTGGTGATATTAGGGCAGGTATGGAAAATACCCAAGTTACTGTTTTGATATTAATCGATTTTTCGAATGCCTTTAATACCGCCAGTCACGGCATCCTATTAGCAATCCTGTCCTATTTAAGGGTTTCCGATGAAGCACTGGAATGGTTTTCGTCTTATCTTCGAGGGCGCCGACAGGCAGTTAGTATTGGTGAATTGTCATCAAGCTGGCTTAATCTTGCAAGTGGTGTCCCTCAAGGCGGTATTCTCTCTCCTATCTTATTTTCAGTTTTTATTAATCTCATTACTCATGACCTTCAATGTGCGTATCATCTGTATGCCGATGATCTGCAGCTGTATACACAGGCGACCACTGATAGGCTCCCAGAAATAATCGAGTCTATAAACAAGGACTTAGTTGCCATCAAAAAGTGGCCACCAAAAGGTTTGGCTTAACCGTCAATCCATCAAAGTGCCAAGCGATCATAGTTGGGAGCTCCCGTACTATAAGTAAAGTGGACTTGGGTGATCTCCCGCAAATTATTTTCAACGGTTCTTGTATTCCAATCAGCCGTAATGTGAAAAACCTCGGTCGGTGTGTACCTTGACATGACGCTCAGCTGGAATGCCCAAGTTAATAGTGTTTGCCAAAAAGTCTCAGGCGCCCTTCGATGTCTTTACCGCCTCAAAAATTTCGTGCCGACAAAAACCAAGGAATTGCTCGTGCAGGCCTTAATTTTCCCTGTAGTTGACTATGGTGACGTCTGCTACTTTGACCTGAATGCAGATCTCCTCAATAAACTTGACCGTCTTCTGAATAACTGCATTCGATTCGTTTTCAATCTTCGCAAGTATGACCATGTATCCTCTTACCGTGATCAACTTCAATGGTTACCTATACGTCAACGACGTTCTCTAAGACCACTGACTACTCTTTATTCTTTCCTGAACTCTCCTTCTACTCCGACTTACTTATCCCATCATTTTCAGTATCTATGTGCAGTCAGCAACAAAAACCTTCGCTCTTCGAAAAATCGTCTTCTTGAATGTCCTTCTCACCGTTCTGACTTCATACACTCTTCTTTCTTTATCCAGTCTAGTTCTTCTGTGGAATGCACTCCCTCTCTTATTATCTATATTTAAAAACAAAGCTCGTGAGCATATTTTCAAAAACTTGTCACGGTAGATCAATTCCATCGTTATGTTTAGAGTATATTTATATGTATGTATGTATATATATGTGTATGTATATGTAATTATATATATGTATTTATTTGTATATGTGAGTATGTATTACGTATATTTTGTAGTATATTTCTTATGTTATTTTGTATATAATTTAGTACTGTATTTAACATAAACATATATACATTACATAGTTTGTAAATATTAGCATTTTCCTTGTTGGAAATTTCTCTGTGCACCTACCTAATTTTCTCTGTACCACCCCAAGGTTGACTGGGAGATAATGCTTTTAGCATTAAGTCCGCCATTGTACTATTTGTGCATAAAGGATAAATAACTAATAATAAATAAAACTTTTATAAACATTTATTAAACATTATTTCATTTTAAATCGTTTTTTTTTTAATATCGTCCGCCGCGCAACCAGTAATTTATGTATGATATGTATTTATTTACAAAAGAAATGTATGTTTAAGTATGTTTATCAGTTATCTAGTACCCATTGTACAACGTTGGTTAGTTTGGGACTAGAGAACGTTGTGTAAAAGTGAAAGAAGAAGAAAAAGTGTCCTAAATATATATTTACATTTATATTATTTAAAACCACCTCGAATAATCTTTTTTCATATGGCTTTTTAATCGAAATTAGTTTATAGCTATCCACAAGTGGTGGACGGCACGTAATTGAATGGACTCACGCTAAATAGCGCGATGGATGGAAGTTTTCACCCGATGACGGATTTTCGATAATTGGGGGCGAGAGTGGCGCCGCGCCATTTAAATCATCTGTCGAATTCCGATTGCCAAATGGCTCCTCATTTTTTTGTGAAGGATTTCATTTCTATTTCACTCACTTTATTAATTTTATTTATTACGATTTTATTCACTGTCTAAAGTGCGTCAGAGAACAACAGTTGACCTGGACTTAAATCTTTGGATTTATCGAGTTCCAAGTTTAAAAATATTTTAAACTTGGAATTCGTCAATCAAATACATATTTGATTACATAAATTGTAATCAAATATGTATTCAAAAATAGTTCTAGTCTTGGTTTCTATATATCGAAACTTGCATATTTTCGTAATAAATAGAACAATAATATTTCGAAGGTGTGTGAAGTCTACCTATCCGTAGTTGGGTCGTGTTGCGTAATACCAGAGGGTATAGAGGGTACAGAGGAGGCCTTTGTCGAGCAGTGGCACATAATATATATAGGCTGTTACTTTACTTTACTATTTTTTTATTCGATAAAATACAAAATGTATGGATATACGATTAAACTGTAAAAGTCCAATATTAAATAATCTGTCTTCCATCTTTCTGAGCAACAAACACATTTCGACCA